CTGGTCTCCTCTCCTCTCTATTTTATTGGATAAATAGACACCAAACATGTCAACCTTTAAAATTGTGTACGCCCGCAAAGTCGCAAAAAACTACCATGCCTAAAAATGGCCAAAGGTGACACTGTAAAAGCTTTTACCGCTGATCAGTTTAGTGTTATCAGTGATTAATGGTCCTAAAATTATTGCTCACACTCGCGGCGATATGTAACATGTGTGGTGTAATCGTTGTTTTCACATGTAGGCGCACCCAACGCGTATTCATGTTTATATGTGCGTGGGAGTTAAAACATTTTTTTTTTTTTAATACGATACTTTAATTTCTATTTTATTTTTTACACCGAACTTTATTGCTATCACATAGGGGGCTAACAAACCTCCTATGTGATAGTCAATATACAATGACAGGTCCTTTTTATGGAGACATCAGGGGTCTCTAAGACCTCTAATGTCACCTTGCGACCCCCAAAGCAGCTGATGAACCAGAGATCTCTTCACTGTCATCAAGATGGACCATTCTGCTTTAAGAATTGATGGCAGTTATAAAGATAAAAAAGTATAAGATGGGGAAATTAGATAATTCTAGCCTGTGGATTAGCATGGATTAGTAAATTGTACCTTGTGCAACAGGTTGTATTAATTACCATGTTCCTTGCTCCAGAAGACTTTCTCCATGTGTGGATCCAAACCATGGCTGCCCACTACCTCTTTACATACAATGAAGAACTAACAATCTTGCATTGTACATGATAACGTCGAAGGACCACCCACAGCAAGGAGCATCAGGGAGATGAGAAGAGCGCCGCAGCAAGGAAAATGGAAAGTAATACAGCCTCTTCCTCTTAGAGTTAATGAGCATTTAACCCATGCAGTCCCACAGGGAGCCCCACTGCACATGTTTTATTCCATCTCAGAGTGAGTTGTCAGTTTAACCTGTGTCCAAACTATGGACTTATATGTTTACCATATTCTGTGCCCAGACTATGCACATTAAAGTAATAACATATTCTGAGTAGTAAAAACACTTTAAAACAAGTCCACCTCTGTATCTATAGGCATTGTGGAAAATCCATCTTCATTTTATTTTTACAACAGAGGCACACACACCAAGGTGCTTGCTATTAAAAACAGGCCAAAGCCAGACTGGAGTCTCTGTTATGATTGTTAGGTTTCCCCTACTGGGAATCCCAAACACCCCACTGAAATTCACAGGTTTGCTGGTCAAGGATAGGCAGATTTTCCACTGAGCATCCTAGGTTTGCTGGCCATGGACAAGCAGAAGTCCAACTGAGGATAACAGGTTTACTGGCCAAGGACAAGACAGATGCCCAACTGAGAATCATGAGTCATAGACAGGCAGATGTCCCACTGAGAATCATAAGCTGTGCTGGCTGAGGAGAGACAGATATTCCACTGAGAGCCGCGGGTTGGTTGATCATGTTCAGGTAGATGTACCATTGACAATTGTGGGTTGACTGCCATAGGCAGACAGATGTTCCACTAACAAAACAAAAAAAAAGTCACAGTTTGGATGGTCATGGACTTACAGATGTCCCACTGAGAATCGCAGGCTTACTGGCCATGGAAAGGCAGATGCTCAACTAATAATTACTGGTTGGCTGGTCATGAACAGATAGATGTTCCACTGAGACTCAAAGATCAACCTTTAAAATTGTGTACGCCCGCAAAGTCGCAAAAAACTACCATGCCTAAAAATGGCCAAAGGTGACACTGTAAAAGCTTTTACCGCTGATCAGTTTAGTGTTATCAGTGATTAATGGTCCTAAAATTATTGCTCACACTCGCGGCGATATGTAACATGTGTGGTGTAATCGTTGTTTTCACATGTAGGCGCACCCAACGCGTATTCATGTTTATATGTGCGTGGGAGTTAAAACATTTTTTTTTTTTTAATACGATACTTTAATTTCTATTTTATTTTTTACACCGAACTTTATTGCTATCACATAGGGGGCTAACAAACCTCCTATGTGATAGTCAATATACAATGACAGGTCCTTTTTATGGAGACATCAGGGGTCTCTAAGACCTCTAATGTCACCTTGCGACCCCCAAAGCAGCTGATGAACCAGAGATCTCTTCACTGTCATCAAGATGGACCATTCTGCTTTAAGAATTGATGGCAGTTATAAAGATAAAAAAGTATAAGATGGGGAAATTAGATAATTCTAGCCTGTGGATTAGCATGGATTAGTAAATTGTACCTTGTGCAACAGGTTGTATTAATTACCATGTTCCTTGCTCCAGAAGACTTTCTCCATGTGTGGATCCAAACCATGGCTGCCCACTACCTCTTTACATACAATGAAGAACTAACAATCTTGCATTGTACATGATAACGTCGAAGGACCACCCACAGCAAGGAGCATCAGGGAGATGAGAAGAGCGCCGCAGCAAGGAAAATGGAAAGTAATACAGCCTCTTCCTCTTAGAGTTAATGAGCATTTAACCCATGCAGTCCCACAGGGAGCCCCACTGCACATGTTTTATTCCATCTCAGAGTGAGTTGTCAGTTTAACCTGTGTCCAAACTATGGACTTATATGTTTACCATATTCTGTGCCCAGACTATGCACATTAAAGTAATAACATATTCTGAGTAGTAAAAACACTTTAAAACAAGTCCACCTCTGTATCTATAGGCATTGTGGAAAATCCATCTTCATTTTATTTTTACAACAGAGGCACACACACCAAGGTGCTTGCTATTAAAAACAGGCCAAAGCCAGACTGGAGTCTCTGTTATGATTGTTAGGTTTCCCCTACTGGGAATCCCAAACACCCCACTGAAATTCACAGGTTTGCTGGTCAAGGATAGGCAGATTTTCCACTGAGCATCCTAGGTTTGCTGGCCATGGACAAGCAGAAGTCCAACTGAGGATAACAGGTTTACTGGCCAAGGACAAGACAGATGCCCAACTGAGAATCATGAGTCATAGACAGGCAGATGTCCCACTGAGAATCATAAGCTGTGCTGGCTGAGGAGAGACAGATATTCCACTGAGAGCCGCGGGTTGGTTGATCATGTTCAGGTAGATGTACCATTGACAATTGTGGGTTGACTGCCATAGGCAGACAGATGTTCCACTAACAAAACAAAAAAAAAGTCACAGTTTGGATGGTCATGGACTTACAGATGTCCCACTGAGAATCGCAGGCTTACTGGCCATGGAAAGGCAGATGCTCAACTAATAATTACTGGTTGGCTGGTCATGAACAGATAGATGTTCCACTGAGACTCAAAGGTTGGCAAGGAAGACTTCTCATTGAAAATCAGATTGACGTCACTGGTTGCCAGGTGCTGAGCAGGATGCTCTGGCCGGCATCCCAAACCCCCCAGTTAGCGTGTATTAACAACACACTAGGGACGCTCCTGTTCTGTACAGCTAAAATAGAGATAATCACTAGAACTCTACTAACCTGCATATAAAATGTCCTCATAAAAATATGAGAACAGCAAGTAAAATGTGAAAGTCATGAAAATGGTTTTCATTATTCTATCCATTATTGAAATTATTAACTTTTACTGAGCAGGTGGGTCCCTTCCTGTATACATGTTTTTGACAATGAATACCTTCTACTACAAGAATACTCTATTTGGACATGCAGAGATTCACTAATTAGACAAGTAACACATTTTCGGAAAGTTTTCTATGTGGCTTTCAGCAAAGGTGTCAAAGATTTAAATAACTGAAGTAAAAGATCAGAGGTTTGGTGCCGTCTATTTATATCCCTAATGCAAATGCAGTAAGCTGAATGCAGTAAGCTGAATGCAGTCACAACAGCCATGCCCAAAATTAAATTCCTTTAACATTCTAAAAAAAAACTCCTTTCAAAATTGAATATCACTTTGGTAGACACTGGTTGGATAGAGCACATGCTGACTTCATATCATTCTCAGAAACTCTAGTTAAAAGATATAACCAAAGAAGTTTGTTTTTCCCTTCCCTCCCTTATCACCTTAGTGAGGGTTTCTCCTACTGTCGCTAGATTATCTGTTTATTCTTCATTATGTAGAGTTCTTTAGGGGAGTTTTTCTTTATCATTTGACTAACAGCCATGGCAAATTGGCAGAAATGGAAATTCTGGTAAGGAAAACTCACCACTGGTGACCCTACCAAGATGTCAGCATGAAATTCAACTTACCAGCAGCCAAGAAGGAGGGACAACTGTAAGCCCATCTACTACTGCATGGTAAGGTGCTGTAAAACTAACATTGGGAGCTTGCTGGCGGGAGGAAGAAGCAAAGTGATAATGTTATCACTGTAGGGAGGCTCTTTTATTGCCCAATTAGCACGCAAAGGACAGGGAAATGACCAAGCTGTATTGTCACCTTGCTCATTTAGTGCAAAATGACAATGCCTTTGTAAAAGGGCCCCTCCTACCTACTGATACTCATTTGCCTTCCTCCACCAAAGCCATTAAAAATACCTGGTACTTTCAGGTATGGGGGAGCATGGGTTGCTCCCCCCCCCCCCCCCCCCCTTCCCTGTCGGTGTTTGGGGGTAGGCGCGACTCTCT